TGAAGATTACAGGAAGAGTTCAACTCAATACAGGGAAGAAGTTTCCCAAATTCATGTCTTATATAGCAGTTAGCTTCCCATCCCTGGAAGTGTCCACCAGGGATATTGCAGAGAAGGTTTTTGGAATCCAGGGAGATACACTATCTGAATACAATGGAGGATTCTTAATGGTGGAAGCTTCAAGCATGGTGGCAGGCTGCAGTGCTCATCAAACTAGACCATGAAGGCAGCTGTTGGCTGCCTCTGCAGTAACGAAGGGATGGCTCTGGTCCCAGAACTAGATTACTTTTCCCCTTTAGTCTTAAAGGTTTGTAATAAATCAATAGCTTTGTTGCACCCGGACTGAGATTCTGGCTTTTCACATTGGCAAAAACACACTCTCATTTGACTGTAATGCAATTGGAATAAAATTAACTCACTTTCCATATGGTCAGGTGTGCAGAAAGCCCACGTCCTTCTTCCTTTTTCCTGGATTGGATTTTTTTTTTTGTATGTTTCAACCATCTGCACTGTTCATGGTCTCCTATTTGTGACTGATGAGATGTTGAGATGGCCCAGGGGCTGCCTTCTTTTACTCATACCTCTATAAAACTCACAGCAGCTATAAAAACCAGCTATTTACTAGAAATTGTGCCTCTATATTTTCCATATACAAGATGTGGCACCTGCAAAGATATATCTGTGCTGACCTTGTAAAAGTTCAACTTGGCTTTTCTTTTCACTGCAAAGAGTACATTTGATGAGAATCAGATGGAGTTTGAGGTCATAAGTGGTAGTTTGCCAATAGAGTTTTACTTAAGAGATGGGAAAATAACAATAATAGATGCCTGTGCCTTCAGGCTAAGATGCTAATTATTGTGAAATGGACACTTTCAGAAGCAACATGAGAATATATACATTTGCATAAACTTAAGAAAGCTCTTGGGTGTTTTAGGGCCTACAGGGATGGATAAAATATTTCCCAAATATTTACAAGGCTGACTTCTCTGAGAATGAGGCTCATTTTTCCCTAACTGTGTAAATGCATGTGCTATTAGGGTTCTGGTAGACATATGCACAGCAAATCCTCAGAGGTTAACAGAAAAATCGGTAGATTATGCTCGTGCTGATAATGCTGTTTCCAAACTCAGATGACAGAGCCTACTGTCTTCATTAGCTAACATTACTGCATCAAAATGAGGTTTACGGTGTTTGGCATTATGATAAATTATGATTGCATTTACTGTTATCACCCCCTCCAAGTCTTTTTTTGTTTTGTTTTTTACATTTAAAAATGTCCTTTCAATGTTTTACAGATTTCTAGGAGTCCGAGAAAGAGACAACCTCATAGATGACACATAGAGTGTTTTACTAAATCAATGAACTCTTGGTGGGTACTAGTAGGGAAATGTACTCTATCTTCTCAAAAGGTCAATCAAGAGTTTACCCATGAGGGACTCCCTTGTATCCACTTTGTTAAACCCTTAGATGAAGAGAGAATAGGGATAGCATGCATGTACTGCCATTGGAAGTTGTCTTGTGATGTGGCATCACAGAAACTTCCAGCTCTCTATGAGCACAGCCCCACTGTGTGCAGATACATATGTGTGCACACGGGTGCATCTGTGAAGGCTAGAGATGTGTGTAGGTGGACTGGGTGCTCCCCGCTTGCAGTGAAAATTAACCAAACACAAGGCTTTTTGGTTCTCAAATTCTACACTATCTGAATTTAGAATTAAAAAGCGACTTCAGAAATGACCTTGTTGCATGTCAGAATCTGCTGGGGAGCATTACAAAAAACAAACAAAAAATAATACCTGAGCGGTAAACCAGACTGGAAGTAAGGTCCAGAAATTCTATTTTCTATTTTCTAAGCTACCCAGGTAATGCTGTTGTACATTAAGATAAAAGAATCACTGCTCTGGTCCAATCCCTTTTTCTTACATATTGAGGTCGACTAGTTAACTAGGGCCAGATTGGAGGTAGAATCTTTAGGTGTGTCCTTTTTAAATACAACTAACCCAGAAAGGGAAGAGGATAAAGTTAGTTGTTGGTGTCACCTGCCTTTCCACTCTTCCACATTTACTTCTTTGGTTGAATTCTCACTCCCACCCTAATCATCCAGTGCTGAGCCCTCCAGGTTCCTACTCTTCCCATTGCCCTTTAGTGTTTAAGACAGACCCATTCACCATCACTGTGACTGCCATGTGTTGACTAACGAATGACAGCTCCAAGTATTTCCCTTCCCTGGATATTTAAACATATGTCAAAGCTTATAAAGTCACTTCACCGTTCTGGGATTTCAGTCTTATCACTTGTAAATAGAGTTGGCCTTTCCAAACCACGGTTCTCACAGTGGAAGTGTAGGTATTAGCAAATGGGTAGAGAAGGAATTCTAACCCAAGGAAGGTAACTTTCATACCCTTGAAATCATACAGAGTGACCCATGCTGCTGTACCTTGCTGTGGACTTGCCCAAAGATGTGTTTAGTGCACAGCATTGATTTAGGGCCTGTTCTGTGTCATTAAGGAAGCCATGTCAAGGCCCTGTCCTCAGGGGTTTGTGCCAGCCTTCAGGCTATTCCACGATTATAAGCTCTTCTGTGCTTCCTAGGAATCCGGGTGAGCTGTGAGTCACCTCCATTAAAAAAGATAGGCTAAAAAAATTTATTTTTCCCTGAAGGAGAAAACAAGAAAAATGGTAATGATTGTGCAAGAGGGAGAAAAAAAATTGTAGAATGTTACAGGGTGATATGGTTTGGCTGTGTCCCCATCCAAATCTCATTTTGAATTGTAGCTCCCATAATTCCCACATGTGGTGGGAAGGATCCAGTGGGAGATAATTGAATCGTGGGAGCGGGTCTTTCTCATGCTATTCTCCTGATAGTGAATAAGTCTCATGAGATCTGATCGTTTTATAATGGGGAGTTTCCCCGCACTAGTTCTCTTCTCTTGTCTGCTACCATGTGAGATGTGCCTTTCCTTTCACCTTCTGCCATGATTGTGAGGCCTCCCCAGTCACGTGGAACTGTGAGTCATTAAGCCTCTTTCTTTTGTAAATTGCCCAGTCTCAAGTATGTCTTTATCAGCAGCATGAAAATGAACTAATTCACAGGGTTATCGATGAATAGTTACTGGCAGAGACTTTAAATTAAAAAAAAATTGTAATAACACTTTCAATAAGGATATATTATTTTCATAATAAGAAATCACGAATTCATATTTTGAGAGTAGGTTCTGCACTGGAGGTTTGTGGACTCAAGGACCAAAAATCTAAGCTGTCTGATCAGCCAGACCCAGCTCACCTATAGATGTTCACATTTTACTGGCAGGGGTCCATTCTTGAGCTTGAGCTCGACTGCTGAAAGTACAACTGCTCTCATAGACGGAGCATGCCAAGCCTAACTGAGTGTTCATGCATGAGTGTGGCAGAGGTTGTAAAATTATTCCTTGGGAGCAAGTGCAGTAGATGGGAGGTGATGGGTCAAGGGAAACTGGGTGCAGAGGTCAAGGCAAGGCCAGGGTCAAGCAGCACTGGGGGCTGTCAGGGTTGCTGGGCTGTATTGCTCATTGCTGGCTTGCTGATGTTTTCTTACCGCCTTGAGTTCTGACAGTTGTTTGTAGCCTTTGGAAACTCACCTGCTCATGGCATGGGGAACTTGAGTGCAAGGTTTGCTCAGATCAGTTCACCAGCTCCAATAAGATGAAGGGAGCTGTTGCCCTCCAGATAGAATGAGTTAGGAAATGACAAGGATACCGTCCTTCCACAGAGCATGTGATATAAATGGCTCTATGTGCAGGAATTGCTGAGAAGCCGCAGCACAGGGTAGGGGGTGAGAGAATATGCATTGAAGGTTATCTTAGTGCCTAAGAAGTTCATTCAATAAATATTTAGGGAAACTGCACTTGAGATATATGCCTGACCCAAATGGACACAATGCCTTCCTCAAGGAGTTTACATTGTAGCATAGGAGGCAGGGGATAAACCACAAACCTAACAAATAAAGCAGCCATACGGAAGGTAAAAGGTGCTCAGTGCTGGAGATAACGCAAGGGAGGTCAGGAGGATGGGAACAAAGAGGATTCAGGCTCTGGGGCAGAAGTCATTCCCTGGGTTTCCTTTCCAAGTCTGGAGAAGGACAGGATGCAGCCAGAGAAGGACTGTGGATCACTGGGAGGAGGGCACATTCCCAAAGGGGAGTTAGTAGCAAATGGAGGGACAGAGATGGCCAGATCAGGCGTTTCTTGTGGGCTGGGGAGCAGAAGAAAGAGGCTCACCCCTTGCTGTAGCTGGATGACCTAATAAGGCTTCTTCCATCTTGCCTGCTTTGAGTCCGGCCTCCGAGGACTCCCTGTTCTCTCTGGCAGGCGCTGCAGAGCCCACAGTGTTTAGGATTTCTGAGCGCCACTGAGTGTTCCAGCCAAAGACCCCATGTGACTTTCCTCCAAGCATGGGTGAGGGGTGCAGGAAGGAAGGGAAGGAGAGGGGTGAAGGGGGAAGGGGAGAGGGAGGGGGGAGATACAGAGATGGGGAGGAGTGCAGGAGGGAGGAGGGGAGGGGTGCTGGAGGGAGAAGAAGGGTGCAAAGAGGAAGGGGGAGAGGTAAGGGTGCCAGAGGAAGGGGGAGGGGGTAGGGGTGAGGGAGGGAGGGAGAGGCATGCAGGAGGGAGGAGAAGATGGCAAAAGGGAAGAGAAGGGGTGCAGGGAGAGAAGGGGAGGGGTGTGGGAGGGAGGGAGAAGGAGGGTGTAGGGAGGGAGGAGGAGCTTCCCATTTCAGGCCTTGGCACCAGGCTATCAGCTGAGACAAGGTGGACAGGAGAGGGGTATCAGAACAAATGCTAGGGCCCAGCTGTATCTGGCCAGCTTTCCTAAAGTAGTTAAAACTAAGGAGAAAGGTAACTGAGAAGGTGAAGAAAATAAGAGACTACTGAAATAGGTGTGCTCTGTGGGACACCATGCCTTCCTCAAGGAGTTTACATTTTAGCATATGAGGCAGAAGATAAACCACAAACTCTGTGGGGATTGGAGGCATTTCTGTCATGTTTTTGTATCAGTCACAGCACTTACTCTTCCAAGAGCTAATTTGCCCATGCAGCAGGGCTAGGGGCCCTGGGTGGCACCTCTTGCCTGGTCAGAGAGGGACTCCTCCACCTGGACAGAGGGCAACTGGTTTGTTTCCAATTTCTTTTAGGCTCTTAGCATGCTGAAGCTGGGAGGGAGCTTCGAGATGATGAGGGCACCAGGGCCTCGTGAGGGGCTGCCCTGGTGAACACAGGCCCCAGTACCGAATAAGTCCTTCCCGGTTCGAACTCGATTTTCACGGTGTCATTTTTGCGAGGTGCGTCTCTGATACGCTTCCAGTAAGTAAACGGCTGAAACAGAAAGTTTTGAGTTTGTTTTTTGTGGAGGAAAGGAAAGAGAGCATTGAAGAACACATTCAGCTACTTGGGAGGCTGAGGCAGGAGAATGGCGTGAACCCGGGAGGCGGAGCTTGCAGTGAGCCGAGATCGCGCCAGCCACTGCACTCCAGCCTGGGTGACAGAGTGAGACTCCGTCTCAAAAGACACACACACACACACACACACACACACACACACTTAGAAGAAAAAATGTTCACTGAGAGGTGGGAAGTCAGGCCAACCAGGGAGAGCTTTGTCGCCTGTGAGAGGTTCTTACATCTAAACTAGGATGGGTTTGGGGGTGAGGCAGTCCACCCTGGAGTTGAGATTTTACACACAAGCTGTCTTTCTTACAATCTATACATTTCACAAGTAAGCCAGGTGCGGTCATTTGCATGTACCCACTTGCACAAGACCTGCTGGGAGCCTTCCGGCCAGGGTGAGCTGCATTCTTTCCAGGCACTTGTCCCAGGCAGGTGTGTTTCCCGGTGCCGCGGGTTAGAAACAAAGCAGGTTTGGACTGGTGAGGGGCTACACAGAGAGCACCATCTCCTGAGTCGGGGAGGTGGTGCTGGCCCCATCTTGGTCATGAATTCACTGTGTGATCCTGGCTGAGTTTCTTGGCCTCTGGGGCCCTTTGTTTACCACCATTGTAATGAAGGGGTTGGATTAGACCAGTTTTCTGGAAATGTGCTCATTGAGGCCCCGGATATCCCAGAGAAGCCGTGGCCCAGGGCAAGAGGAAGGCTAAGGAGAGCTCAGATGGAAAGTCCCCAGATGCCACCTGACTTCATCCACAGAACTGCCAGCTCTATAAGATGATGTAATACATATGATGTGATACTATAATACAATGATGGACTTCAGGGTAAGGGAAAGAAGAGTGCCACTGCCTGCTAAGTTTGGAAACCCCTGCATCAGGTCCCATCCATGATCCTATTATTTATTAAATGGTTCCAAGCAGTGCCAGAGGAGACTGGCAGTGTTCACTTTGCTTATTTGGAAGCCTGAACAAATGCCAAGAATTCACAGTCAGAAAAACACCCTTTGGCTCCACATTTATCTAGAGAGCAAAACAAACACACTTGACAGATCCTGCAGGTCTAACAAAACCCCGGTGTGGCAGAAACCCTCCCCGCTGCTCCATGGTATTTATTATTTCCAGCAGATTCTACACTTGCTGTCACCAGGACATACCTAAGCAGAGCAGGTCAGGGCTGACCCCTGGGGCTGTGGGCAGAAGCCATGGAAAGCCTCTGAGGGCCACTGGCTTTATCATGAGTAGATGCAATATGTGCGTGACTGTTTACGTGGAAATGAAACATCTGTGACACATGGCGACATGGAAAATCCCACCATCATACAGTCAATGAGAACCCCAAATTCCATGTCATGAAAGCAGGGGTTGCATTATTGAAGATTAAATGAGATGACCCAGGGGTGAGCCTGTGTGGCTGGTTGAGGAAGGTGCTGGGGTCAAAGTCCTTCTCGGGCCAACGGCTTTCTAGGACAATAAATGTGTCATTTTCCTCCCCTGGCCTTCTCCCATGTGGAACAAGAACAGAGCTAAAGATGTGGTTCCTTGACCAATTATACTATATTTAAAATGACATTTTTAAGGGACTTTACTATTAGGCCTTAGTAAGGAATAATCTGAATTTCAGACTGCAAGGCTAATGTGTGAGATCGAGTCACTTGGCCAATTCAGCATTTACATCTCAGGATGGCTTTCTGGTTCTTGATTTTCCTCATCAAATACAATTTTTTTTTTAAAATACAGGGTCTCACTCTGTCACCCAGGCTGGAGTACAGTGACACGATCATGGCTCACCACATCCATGACCTCCCGGGCTCAGGAGATCTCCCACCTCAGACTCCCAAGTAGCTGGGATTACAGGCAACCGCCACCATGCTTGGTTAATTTTTATGTGTGTATTTTTTGTAGAGACGGGGTTTCACCATGCTGCCCAGGCTGGTCTCAAACTCCTGGGCTCAAGCAACCCACCTGCCTCAGCCTCCCAAAGTGCTAGGGTTTCAAGTGTGAGCCACTACACCTGGCCAACAAATACTCAAAGTCAGCCACATGCCTGGCATTATTGTAGAAGCTTGCTTCCCATCAATGAGCAAAACACAAAATTCCTACCTTGGAGGAGCTTATATTCTGTGTCATCATTTACTTATCCCTCACTTGGGGGCCCAGCTCTCCCGAGGGGCTGTGTTACTTGGGTGTCTGTCAGGGGAAATGGTAGCATGGAGATTGTGGCTGGGTTGTGGCATCAGACACCTGGGCTCAGACAGAGCCTTTGGTTCTCTCCTTACACAGCTTCCATCGACTCTGCTCATCTCTGTTTCCTTGTTGTTAAAGGGGACAGCAATGGCACAATTCTCATCTGGCTGTGTCGATGATTAAATAAGGTATTTAATCCTTGATGTGGCACCTGGCACTTAGTAAGTGCCCATAAAGTGGGTGGCTCATGGCTATCACTCCTGGGCCTTGTTCTCACAGCGGCATTCCTGCTCCTGTGTTTGCCCTCTGTTTGGTTACCATGGGTGCTGTGTTTGTGCAGAGCTTCAGCAGGACTTGGTGCTGCGAAAATTCATCTTGCCTCTGCCTGGTGATCTGGTGAGCAGGTGCTGCTGTCTGTAAGAGGAAGGGGCCAGCTGCCCACGGGACAGCAGCAGCTGTCTGGCCTCCCCAGGCTGGTGGCCAGGGGGCTGCCTTCCCCATCAGGGGTGGCACCCACTCAGATTACTTTTGCTTTTGGGACTCAGCCGGACGTCTGTTTTGGGTGAGAGGATGCATGCTCTTCCTTCCCTCCAGGATGCCCCTGTTCCAGGCTCTCTGCAGCAGTCCTGCCTTGAATTGGCCGTGTGATCTGAGGCTGGTCACTTAACCTCTCTGGTTATCCATATCCTCATCCATAGAATGGAGATAATCATTCTCACCACTGAGGGATGCTGTGAGGATCGGGCAAGGCCACAAGGTAAGGACTGGATCAAAGTGAGGCACAGCATGAGCTTCCCTCGCTCCAGCCACACAGCAGGATGCTAGTCTGTGCAAATCTTTGCCAAACACATCTGATCTTGCCAATTGTCTTAGTCTGTTTAGGTTGCTGTAACAAAATCCACAAACCAGGTGGCTTATAAACAACAGAAATTTATTTCTCACAGTTCTGGAGGCTGGAAAGCTCACCGTTGAGGTGGCTGGCAGATTTGATGTCTTGTGAGGGTCCATTATCTGGTGCGTAGATGGTGGCTTCTTGCTATGTTCTCACCTGGTAGAAGGTGAGAACCCCAGGCAGCTCTCTGGGGTCTCTTTTATAAGGATACTCATCCCATTCACAAGAGCCCTGCCCTCATGACCTAATCACCTCCCAAATTCCCCACTTCCTAATACCATCACCTTGGGGATTAGGTTTCAATGTCTGAATTTCGGGGGAGACACAGACATTCAGGCCCTAGCACCGACTCTCACTACTTCTCTTAATATTACCTTATATGCTTCATTCCAGTGTGACCTTTTAGCACGTTCGGCCTCTTCTGTGATCCTGAAGTCACGTTTGACACTGACGGCATCCACATCCGTTGGATGGAAAGCTTCTCCAAGCAGGGGCCTCTCCCTTCCTCTTTACAGAGCCCAGCATGCAGGAAGTATGCAGCATGTGTCTGTTCCTAGGTGGACAAATGCATCCTTGAACGAGGAGCTGGCACCTCTCTCTTGAAGATCTGTTTATTTCATGTCATGTAAGGGCATTGTTTCTGAAACTATGGCTAAATTTAGACTTTCCTTCTGCTGGGAGTCATGGGATGGGTTAGAAATTTATTCCTAGCCAGGCACAGTGGCTCACGCCTGTAATCCCAGTGTTTTGGGAGGCTGAGAAGGGAGGGTGGCTTCAGCCCAAGAGTTCTAGACAAGTTTGGGCAACATAGCAAGATCCTGTCCCTACAAAAAATGAAAACAAAAATAGCTGGGTGTGGCAGGACGTGTCTGTAGTCTCAGCTACTCAGGAGGCTGAGGTGGGAGGATTGCTTGAGCCCAGGAGGTGGAGCCTGCAGTAAGCTGAGATTGCACCACTGCACTCCAGCCTGGAGTAGACAGCAAGACCCTGTTTCAAATTGAAAAAAAAAAAAAAAAGGGATGCTGTATTAGTCAGCTCTTACACTACAATAAAGAAATACCTGAGACCGGGTAATAAAAAAAGAGGTTTAACTGGCAAATGGTTCCGCAGGCTTTACAGGAAGCATGATGGCTTCTGCTTATAGGGAGGCCTCAGGAAACTTATAATCATGGTGGAATGTGAAGGGGAAGCACATGCACATCACATGGCTGGAGCAGGAGGGAGGGAGTGAGGGGGCAGGTCCCACACACGTTTAAACAACTGGATTTTGTGAAAACTCTATTATGAGAATAGCAAAGGGGGAAAATTCACCCCCATGATCCAGTCACCTCCCACCAGGCCCCACCACCAACACTGGGGATTATATTTCAACATAAGGTTTGGATGGGGGCACAAATCCAAACCATATCAAATGTACTCCTGGGCTCTTACAGGTACAACCAAGTAGCTAAATCTGGGGCAGATTTTGGCTTGGAGTCTTGGAGAAGGTTCCGGTTGCCATGTTTCTTGCCTTGCCAAGCCAGCTACCCAGAGGGTCTAGTGCCCCAAACATCCCACAGCCTGGCCTGGGATGCCCCATGCTACGTGCTCCCCCACCTGGCTGTCCTGCCCTGTTCTTGCCTTCAGCAGCTCCCAGATGCTCTTCTTAGGGACTACTGATGACATTCACAGTAACTCAAAAGTGCTTCACCGTTTTGGAAATTGCAAAGTAGATGGGGTTCCACAGACAACACCAGGCAAGGGAACCTGGTTACTAAAGCCAACGGAGCATCAAGGTTGTCTTAGGATAAGTTATCCGGAGTTCCACTTGCACTTGATTATTTGAGTGGTAAAATGAAGATATTAATACATACTATAGGAAATGCCCTGTTGGAATGAACTGTCAGGTTAATTGCTTTAATCCTCTATGCCCCATTATCGGTGAGAATCTGGTTATAGTCAATCACAAAGTAAGAGTCAACAGACCAATCTGAGCAGGGAGAGTGAAGTGATAAATATACAGATGCTAGGTGCTGATGAAGGCTAATGATGAAGGCCATTCGTAATGCCACTAGGATTTTGTGAGACTGAGTCTGTGGCCCAGTGAGGAAATCCGTCTCACCATACTGGTTTTCCATTGGCTACCATATGGCATCATTTTAAAGTCAGTGGACCTCAATTTCTCTTCTATGGTGATAGAACTAAAGGATGTCATTACATAAGGGGTACACTCAGGCTGTGATGTTGTTAAATAAGGCCATGGCCCTCAATAAACCATGCCTGCCAGTATGCACATTCTTGGATGCATATTGAATCTGCGCTGGTTCTGTGATTTGTTTTAACCAATAAACTGTGATGGAAGTTACACTATACCAATTCTGGGCTTTAGCCTTAAGAAGGCCTTACAGCTTCTGCTTTTGCACTTTGATACCCTGAGCTTCTATGTAAGAAGTTCACCTACCCTGATGAAGGGATCACATAGAGAGACCCCTAGAGGGGCACTCAGGGAGGTCAGAAGGAAGGGAGAGGCCCTGAGACAAAATGGATAGAAAGACCAACCATCCCAGCACCCCAACTGAGCCCAGTTCCTAGCAGACTCTTCAGCTGAATGCACTGATACAAGTGACCTCTGGTAAGATCAGCAGAACAACCATTCAGCTAAGCCCAGCCACAATGGAAGAATTACAAGAAATAGTAACAGAATTGTTATTTTAAGTCACTGAGTTTTGGTGTAGTTTGTTATGACCAAAACAACCCAGTTCTCAGGACAAATATTTTAGCTTCACCTCTCATGTGGATATTTGAGTATATGACCATCTGTATAAGTCTGAGTTTTCCAGAGAAAGAGAAACAATACTATGTGTGTGTGTATATAAAAGATACTTATTTTAGAGAATGGGCTCGTATAATTGTGGAGGCTTGGTGAGTCCCAACATCTGATGTGGGAGGCCATCAGGCTGGGGGTTCAGGAAAACAATTACAGTTTGAGTCCAAGGGCAGTCTGGTGAAAAACCAGGAAGGGCTAGTGTTGCAGTTGAAGTCTGAAGGCAGGCAGTCTCATGGGGAATTCCCTCTTGCTTGAGGGAGTTCAGCATTTTTTTTTTTGAGACAGGGTCTCCTCTGTTGCCCAGGTTGGACGCAGTGGCACAATCGAACTCCTGGACTCAAGTGACCCTCCTGCCTCTGCCTCCCAAGTAACTGGGACTGTAGACTTGTGCTACTCGGCTAATTTAAATTTTTTTTTTTTTTTTGGTAGAGATGGAGGTCTTGCTTTGTTGCCCAGGCTGGTCTCCAAATCTGGAGGTCAGCCTTTTGTTCTAGACTTTAATTGATGATTGGAGGGGGCCCACCCACAGTGCGGACAATGTACTTTACTAAAAGTTTGCAGATTTAAACACAAATCTCATCCAAAAACACCCTCACAGAAGCATCCAGAACAATGTTTGGACTACATATCTGGGCACTGTGGCCCAGCCAAGTTGACATAAAATTAACCATCACACCATCCATTGGCAGAAAATAGGTTTTCTTTGATTTCACCCAGAGGTCAGTATGTGATTTTTGAAGAGAGAACCAGACTAGAGAATAAAGAGACTTGCATTTTAATCCAACTACTGCCACTAACATCATCATCAGCCAACCTAATTCCTCTGAGCCTCAGTTTTTCCCACTGGGTTAATTTTAATTTTGTTTAATTTTGTGGTGTTCTTTCACCTTATTACCTCTTACAGGCAACTTTGGCAAGATGTTTATTCTTATAGGCAAAATTCACAGAAACCAAAAGCATGTTCTTAAACACCCTGAGGCTCTGGGACTTCATTGTTCTGTGCCACAGATCAGAGGAAAGTAATTTTGAAAGGATCACAGGTTATTGGATTGTGTAATTTTTAAAAATTTCAACAGTAAATACTTATGAAATGTACTGTGTGACTATGTAATTTTCATGTAGACACCTTAAGTAAATATCCTTTGTGAACTCCCAAAATCTGAGACGCGTCTCAGTTAATTTAGAAAGTTTATTTGGCCAAAGTTGAGGACGCGCGCCCACTGACACAGTCTCAGGAGGTCCTGATGACATGGGGCCAAGGTGGTCAGAGCACAGCTTGCTTTTACACATTCTAGGGAGACATGAGACATCAATCAACATATGCAAGATGAGCACCGTTTCCGTCTGGAAAGGCGGGACAACTGAAAGAAAAGGCAGGAAGACTCCAAGGGTTGGGAGGGGGGAGCTTCCAGGTCCTAGGTAGATAAGAGACAAATAGTTGCATTCTTTTGAGTTTCTAATTAGCCTTTCCAAAGGAGGCAATCAGATATAGATTTATCTCAGTGAGCAGAGGGGTGACTTTGAATAGAATGGGAGGCAGGTTTTCCCTAAGCAGTTCCCAGCTTGACTTTTCCCTTTAGTTTAGTGATTTGGGGGCCCAATATTTATTTTCCTTTTACACCTTTGAAGATAGTAAAAATACTCGTGAACACATAGAGGAAGAAATTCTCACCAAGGAGGAACATTGGCCGCTTTGGTTGAGGGGGCAGTAGTGAGACACGGTGGCCTCCTCTGCAAAAATTCCATCTCTCCCCTGCTGGGTAGAGCCACATTTAGTTTGGTGGTTGGACCCCATCTGTGCTCCAGGGTGGGACTTGACTGATCTAATGCCAGTCAGGATAATCCTAGCAATCAGTTCAGAGGAAGACATGTGGCTTGAATTGTTCCAATCAGACTGCAACTCAGAACGCTTTTCTGGTTCTTGGGGTAAAAAAAGATTTCTTCTGTGTGGTATGGTAAGTATAAGGATATGAGACTTAGGTTAACTGCAGCAATTTGCTACCAGAAAGGAAACCAACCTAAGGGATAAGGCAAAATATGGAAGAGAAGAGGACCAGAAAATTACAGAAAAATGGGGCCAGAGCCTTGATCAATGCAAACTGGAAGCCCATTGGACCTGTGAGCTTGACAAGCCCCTTTCATTTTCTCAAACATTAAAAAAAAAATAGAGTTAGGATCTTCCTCTGTCACCCAGGCTGGAGTGCAATGATGTCATCATAGCTCACTGCAGGCTTGAACTCCTGGGCTCAAACGATCCTCCTGCTTCAGCCTCCCTAGTAGCTGGGACTACAGGTGCAAACCACCATGCCTGGCTAACTTTTTTATTATTTGCAGAGACAGAGTCTTGCTGTGTTGCCCTGGCTGGTCTCGAACTCCTGACATCAAGTGATCCTCCTGCCTCAGTCTCCCATTTTAGGCCATTTTTGAGTTAGAATTTCTATTATTTCCAACCTTAAGCATCCTAATTGGTACCTGATACACCCCATCTACTTTTCAAGAAGAGTCAAAACTATCAACTGTTTAACCTTAGTCTCCTCATTGGTAAAGGACACTCGGAATAAAATCACTTTTCTCTCTGAATTGTTTGAGATATTATAATTCACCAATGAGCTTACATGGAAGCAGAGTTCCTGCTGCTATCAGGCTGAAGGTTACACCTTTGCAAAGTTTCCAGGACAGCAGAAAAACAAAAACAAAAGCAAAAAACCTTCAGATCACTGGCTCGCAACAAATTCA